GACACTTTTAAAATTGAAAACTTAAAAACTTTTAATAATCCCATTTGATTTAATTTCTAACAAAACCCTTATTTCCATTCATAAGACATGAGACTCAGATACATACACATTGATTACATGAAACCAAAATCCCAAACTATAAACCATAGTTACTACATTACTAAACTAAGAAACCTCTCCTCTCTAACAAGTGGGTGCTGCAAAAGTACCCTTACACAAAACACTACAATCACAAGATCACAAAACTTGTGAAAGGAAGGACTTAAGATTTTCACAGTACTTCTCTGGTTCTTTTAAAGATGGTAACTTTTATTTCATGATCATTCTCCAACTTTCTCCATTATAGCAACCGTGAGCTGATCCTGTGTAAAAAACCGATTCCCCATTTTTACAGTAGCTTGTTGGATCATAAGATCATTCATTACCGATAAACTCGCGTGATTCACTTCCAAATCCAATTCCTTAAGTGCTTCCATGAATTTAGCACCAGGATGATTCTTCTTGTTACATTGTATCCTTATCATAACATCCCAACCTATGATCTTAACATCGATCTCCATCTCTATCGACACACCCGAATCTTCATTCGAACATTTCCCATTCTCATTCGCCATCGCCATCGCCTCTTTTCTCATCTCATCAATCTGTTTTTGCAACTCTTCTTTATCGGATTCGGCCTTTCGTAAGTTAGATTTAAGCTCATTGATATACGAAATCGCGTCTCCTAAGAGAGATGCTTTATCCATTTTAGATACATTAGGAACCACAGCTCTTAAAGAGTAGAATCTTTGGTTTAACTTCTCTCTTCTCTGTCTCTCTGCTTCAACATGATTCAATGGCTCTTCTCTTCCATTCGCTGGTTTTCTACCTCGTTTCCTCGGTTTCTTCTCGGTCGGTTCAACCACATTCCGATTACTTTCGGCCTCTTTAGCTACCGAAGCTTTCGAGTCGCCGGATTTCGTAGGCCGTGGAAGAACAGAAGTGAAAGAAAGCATTCCTTCTTCATTGTCTGAAACCAAACATCTCTTCTTCTTCTTACTCTCTTCATCAACAAACCGGTTCTGACCGGAAAATCCATCCTCAATTCCGTTCTTAAAGCTAACGATTTCTCCGGTTTTCGGGTTTTCCACACAGCTTCCATTACAAAGCTTGGAGATTTGGTCAGAATCAGAGTTAGAAGTAGAGTTATTACCGTTGTTCATCGCCGGAGCTACAAGACCCGATTCGATTCCGGTTAATTCCGGTTCGTTAATCCACAAAGCTGGATCATTCTCTCCTTGATCTGCTGGATTCAAATTCAACCCCCAAGAACCAGATT